CAGTCTAATGTACATATATTCGTCGGTAAACGGAACATTGCCAGACAGATAGCGGGCCAAAAGAGGCGTCCATAGCCGTAGTTTGAGCAGCAGAAGAGAGCATTCATTGTTCAGCCAATTTGCGACTCATCATTATCGTCATCGTCATGGTTGTTGTTGTTTTCGTTTTCGTGCCGTTGTTTATGCCGCTTGGCTGACGACATTTGTCACATTGTTGTTGCTGCTGTTGTTGTTTAGTCAAAACGCCGGTCGAAGCTGATGCTGGTATATTCAGTTAACGTCATAAATAGTTATGGCAACGAACCAAGCAATGGCACTGCTTCCGAAGACGCGGACGACGACGACGGCGCCACCGTTGACGTTGATGTTGACGTTCATTATGCTGCAAGTGTGGGTTTTGCGATTTTGCGGATGCTGTTGCCATTATAGCTGTTGATGTTGCCAACATGTTGTAGTCGTCGTAGTCGTCGTCGTCGTCGTCCGTGTTACTTGGTCTATTGTTTACGTTGTGAACGTTGAATGCTTGGCAAATGACTGAAGGAATGCATGAATATTGAAATGAGGCAAGAACGTATAAACGAGCGAATTGTTGTCGTGATGTTCATAATCGTCGATAAAGCAATGTGAATGCAATGTGTTTGTCGTACAATACTCGTAAAAGTGCAGATTTGTTGCCGGTTGATGGCAACTTCCGTCAGTTGACAGGAAGTAACGATAAGTAACATTAAGGGTGGAGAGGAATGGCACGGTAAGGGTGGTGAATGGTGAGTGAGCGTACACTGAGACAAAGGAGGGCTCGACAGGGCGATGTGAGAGCGATTGTGGAGTATGTACTCGTAACGTTGACGGAAATACTACGTATGCTTATATGGAAAGAGTGAGTTTTTTATTGCCGTGGGCGAAGAGGAGACTATGAGTAAATGATGAAAGCATGTGGAAAGAAATGAAAAGATGAAATGAAACAAATTGAAATGAAATGAGGTGGTGAAATGAAATGAAATGAAATTAAATTAAATTAAACGAAACGAAATTAAACTAAATTAAGTGGAACGAAACGAAATGGAATGAAATTAAACGAAATTAAATGAAACGAAACGAAATGGAGTGGCATGAGATGGTGGTTGGATGTTTTTCGTAATAAATTTTTTTCGTTAATTTGTAATAGAAATATTTTTGTTTTTAATATTTGGAACATTTTTCGTAATAATTTTTTTTTTTCAATTTTAATAGAAACATAGTTCATTCTGCATAAAATGGCAAACAATTTAATGATTCAAAGCTTTTACAAAATTTAGGATAAATTTTCACCAACATTTTCAACTTTTAAACAATATTTTTATTATATTTCCGTATTGATTTTTAAGAATTTTTTTACTGACGCTCATCGAGATTTTTTCCCATACAAAAAAAAAAAACTATCACGCATCCGTTATATGGAGAAAATGAGCAACATCATCAGCAAAAAAAAATTCTCAAAACTCAACGGTAGATCAAAGCCACTTAAAACTTGCACTTTATTGTACTGAAATTAAGTGAGATACAAAACTACATACTCAAAAAAGTTTGTTTAAAAGCTAAACATTTTGGTGAAAATTTGTCGAGTTTTCCTAAATTTGTAAAAACTTTGAATCATTAATTTATATGCTACTGGATGCAGAATGAACTATATTTCTATTAAGATGTAACGAAAACAATTTATTACGAGAAATATTGCGAATAGTAAAAAAAACACTGTACGGATACATATTCTGGTGAGTGTATAAGCTACGCTCTTGATAGTTATATATATGAATACATATGTACATAAATACATATGTATACATGTTCATATCGTCGCTGAAATAATGAAATAGTGTAACATGAAAAGTATAGTTTTGAGAAAAACGAATTGGAAGTTCTTATAAACCATTACAAACCATACAAATACAATTTCGTTTTTCGGGAATAAATTAGTGAGCCAAAGAGATATTTACTAAAACTAAAGATTTTCCTAATAGATTAAAGGATTGTCTATCCAATGGTGCAATTATCGAATAATAGTATATGTGGCATTTATACTGGTTCTTTATTCGAGCGACGATATGTTGTATATCGAGAAGCTTGCTTATAGCGAAACCGATGAATATGTATATCGATAATGATAATATTTGATCTACAATGAAATCTTTAAATATATTTATAATGAAATCGACAAATATATCGATAAAATGATCAGCAAATATATCGATGTATATTCAATATTTCGATTATCTTGTATTTAAAATTATTAAATTGTATTTAAAATGAAAATTTTAAAAAGATATACATACATGGTTATAAGTAAAAATAACCACTCGGGCTCATATACCCGTAGTTGCGTATGTAACGTATACGCCCCGTAGCACCATTCGCAATCAACCAACACGTTTACTGCACGCCTTAACTTAAAAGCCATGTTATTAAAAAGTAATTAAATATTGGCGCAGAAGATTTTTACACAGTTTTCCGTATGCACATATGTACTATATTTGTATATTACCTTGTGCATGTATATAACAATTTTAGAATGATTTTTGAGTGTGCCAAAAAAATTGTAAAAATGGAATTTTAGTTTCTCAAATCGTAGTAACCTTTTACTCATTGTAGATAATGTTTTTTCATTAAGTGGCACACCAGCTTTATTACACTAGATTCGTTCGTTTTAGCAAGAAGAAAAATTTCATCGTTTAATTTAAAGATTTTAAAGTAACTTAAAAAAAAAAAATTAAAAATTACAAAAATAGATGCGATAGATATTCTGCATGCTGACATTTTTTCAATTTCGTGGTCAACTTTCGAAACTTCACAGATATGTTGTATTTGGGGCTAACGTTCATTGCCTCTTATATGAACCTTCTGTTTGAAAACTACCCAAATTTATTAAAAAAACAATTATGATTTTGTTGGGTGACAATGAAAAAAACATATCGATGATCATATTGATAGCGAATTTATCGAATTGATAATAAAATCGATTATTATATCGATAACATTATATGCAAAAATATCGATATTATATTGACAACAAATAATTTTTTTTTTGCTTTTAAATTCTACGCGAATGTAAAAGAATATTATTTGAAAGTTTGAAGATCAAATGTGATTCCACTTCGATATTAGCATACCGATACCCTTCAAAACTAGCCTCAATATTGCTTGTAACATTGACAGAGCAAAACATTCCCAATGCTGCTGCATGCCTGTCACAATTCATAATAAGCCGAGCAGAAGGATCATCTGTGTGGTGAAATTTTTGTCGCATCGCCAACGGTGCTGGTGTGCATTAGCGAAATATTTAATAAAAACATACTTACCTACACTCCGCCAGTCATAGTGGCATTTTAAAAGCAATATCGCAGTTTGCGGTTGAGTCAAAAAGCAGCAGCAGCTCAGCAACTGCAAGCAGCAAAGAAAAACATACAAACACGCACACAGCCAGCCCAGACAACAGGCTAGGTACACAATAAGCCACTCTCACTTAAGCCTGGCTGTGCCGGCTAGTTAGGACAGTTAAATTGCTCAGAAGACAAAATCGTGACCGGCTGTTGTTTTGCCTCGTTGTTATTGTGTTTTTGCCTCTTGCCTTTGCTATCGATGCTATAAGTATGTATGTATGTATGCATGTATTTTACTCAATGCTGTTGTCGTCAATTCTCTGCCTACAAGTAAGCCGACTTACGCTCAGTCACAGTCACAACCACTGCTACGGCCTCTGTCATCAACGCCACCACCCACACAGACGTATGTACATACATACATACATACACACTAACCTTACGCCATGCAAGCAGCTATACACAAACATATTCATAGTTAAGTTTGTGATCATAAAAGCTTGGCAGCTACTTTGCTTTTGGCTCACTATACTATAATTCACACAGACACACTCTGTCTGAGCTGGCTGACGACTGCATCCACATTCACCAACTTTGTTGACGCTCGCTATAAGCTCCACTGAGCTTCGCTGCCTGCGTTGGCTCTATTTGCCTGCTGCGCGTTTGTCTGCTTCATAGCTCCACGGTTTGGCCATAAGCTGTGCTATGTGTGTGTGTGTGTGTGTGTGTGTGTGTGTGTGTGTGTGCTTGTATTGCTGCTTGACTTTGCCTTTTGCTCTGTCTCGGCTGTTCGTCGTTGTTTTTACACTTTTTTTTTTTTGCATTGGGGGCTTCCTCGCTTTTGCGACCTTTTTGGATGCTTTTGCTCCATGGCTTTGCTGTTGGACGCCACTATCGTTACTGTGTGCTGCTGCTGAGGCCTGTTGGCAGCTGGCTTGTGTGCTGGCGTGTTTTTGTGTGCTTTGCTTTGCTTTGGGGTATCATCGTTGTGGCCGTGTACGGCCTGCTTCAGTCTGTCGTTTGACGTGCATAGAGGCGGCATTGGAGCGGACTAGCAAGAGTGATTCTATTCGATTCGTTTGCGAGCGGCATACAAACGTGCGTTTCCCTCGTAATCGACAATCTCGTTGGTTGGTTGGTCGTTGTTGGCAACGGTCGGCATTTGAAGTAGTAAAAAAAAAAATAAAAGTTGAAGAGATGAAGAAGATCTAAAAAATAAAATAAAAAATCCAAAGTTGTTGATATTCGCAAGTTGGAATGAAGATTATATACATACATACATACATACATGTGTACACGCATGCAAATAAAAAAGCAAAAGTTATAAATAAAACGAATTAGTGCGGCAGTGAAAGAAATTCCATTATTGATAAAAAGGCGCGCGAATTTCGGTTCGTTGACGTTTTTTTTGCTCTGATTTTTGTGCTACTCAAAACGAAGGTGGGTGATGCTGAATTTTGTGATAATGCAAAAAGTGTGTGAATCAATTATAATTATTAGTAAATATGCATATATGTTTAACAAAAACCAGTGTCAAGAGGATTAGTGAAAATTTATCAATGTCAATCTAGATACATACATACATACATACATTGAATGTAAGCAGACATCAAAACATATTTACATATGTACATATTTGTGTATGTGTGAAAAAAGTATTTACCTCTATATCAAAGAATAAAGTGTAATTTCGATTTCTTAAAAACGTCTCGAAATTTATGATTTATATTGAGTTATTAAAGTTTTAATCAATAAAGAAGACTGTGAAATGGATTTATTTTTAGTGATTCATCCTCCAGCACAAAGCGTATTTAGCGTTGAATAAGAATGAGATGGAAGGCAATATCCATGTGAATGAGTGAAAGATAAAAAGATATGCGGACAATCACTGCCGGAACAAAAATATGGTTCATTCTACAAAAAAAAAATAAAAATATAATTCCTAAACTTTGTGCAAAACTCGCGAAAATTCTGCAAATTTTCATGAAAATTTTCAACTTTTTAATCAGATTTTTTAGAATTTGGAGTATGCAGATTTGTAGCCCAATCAATTTTATTATAACAAGGTGCAAGTTTTAAGTAGATAGAAATTACCGTTGATTTTTGGGAACTTTTTTCACGCAGTCTCTTCCATTTTTGTTCGAAAATACTTTATATAGAAAAAATGCAAAACACTTTCAACAAAAAAATTCTGAAAAATCAACGCGATTTTTGACTAACTCCAAACTTGCATTTTTTTACTAGAATTTTGTTGGCTGCAAAACTGCATACTCTAAAAAATCTGATTAAAAAGTTGAAAATTTGATGAGTTTTGCACAAAATTTAGAAATTATATTTTTATGTTTTTTTGTTTTTGAATGAACGATATTTTTATAAAAAATTGGCGGAAAAATATTCGAATAAAAATTATTGCATATATTGTGAAAAATTTGCTGTGCCAATACTTTGTTCCGGCAGTGTAGTTATTTATACAAACCCTTTGAATTCTATATCAGAGAAAAAGTACAGGAAACAAATTCTGAAGCCCGGTTAGCTTAAACTCAGGATGACATTTCGTACGAGGTATCTTCTACCGTGTTCATTACATTATTCTCTCTTAGGTTAGGTTAGGTTAGAGTGGCTGCCCCCGCACAGAGCACGGAGCACAGGTAGGCTCGAAAAGCCCGTTGGGAGTGGCCGCAGCTATTTGTTTTTTTTTTGCCTCCCTTAGTAACTGAACTACCGCGTGTGTTTTATATAGTACAAAAAGTCGAGGACGTCCGCCGAGTTCAAGTCGGCTAAACAATATAGAAAGCATTTGTTGAAGAATTGGTTGCACGTGTTGGCTCTCTGCAACTGCGACAAAAATCGTTGGTGGGGTATCGTAACCTTTTTCCGTGTGTGCCACATCCGACAGTGTCCAGTGATTATCCCGACTACTAATCTGAGAGAGAGAGAGTGGTCCAGGCGATTGAAAGCTATGGATCGCTTTACACCATTCTTTGGCCAAGTATGCCTGGTAGTATGGCAGGTGGTTTCCACAGACCACCTGGTATAGTATATACCTTTTCGATGAGTTCAACCTTTAGTCTGTGTTTACAGGAGGTTAGAGGTATGCCCGATATTTCTGTCCCCCTACTTGGCAGCTCGTAGGTTGGGCAGTTTCCAGGAAAGTCCCTGTGTCTAGGAACCCATGCATTCTAAGGCTACTTTGGACGTTTTTCCGTTGGATTTGAAAGCAGCCTGGCTGTCAGAATAAATAGCGGTAGGCCATCCTGGAGGGGCGAAGGTTTTGAGCAACCAAGTCGCGTTTACCTCTACTTGAAAAACGCTACAATGGTCCAGTAAGCGAAAATTGAGGGTTAGCGCGAACTCGTCAGATTTAATCCTGCTACCCACCCTTTTATTTAGCTTGAACCCATCTGTATATATAGCCGTATACACTGGTTTATGTCTGTGGATTCTTCCCATTCGTTCCTCTCTGAAATTCTTGTGGAGAATTTGTTGTCTTAACAGAGTACAGGAGTGGTATAATTTAAATGTTGTAGATTAATCAATAGAGTTTCGACTAATTTTGCGTGTCCCAATCTGAGGTCTATCCACGGCTGCATCGAATTTAACCTGGCTGCACTGCAGCCGGTCCGAAATATGCCGTAGAGATCCACAGCTGGAAGATTTAATATTATTTCCAGAGATTTTGTGGGTGTAGTGGGTAGTGCTCCCGTGACGTGCATGACAGCCATCCTCTACACTCGTTTTGCAAAAACAAACGAAGCATCAACTTTGTTTCTGATGCGCTGATTATTCTAACGATGCGTTTAAATAACTTTTCGGATGCGTTTTGGAAAAGTATACATTGTAAACCATTTGTAGTTATAAAACATTATGCTTTGCGTATGCAATGCAATTCACGCTTTTGGAAGTCAGCCAGTATTCTCTCTTGTTAAGCTTAAAATTAGGTTTCCTTACTGGGAGCAATTGATTTATGAATAATTTTTTTAATTTAGCTTAAAATAAAACTAAAATTACTTTTCATTTCTATACATAAAACTGAAATAAATTGCAAGCTCCAAGTGATCGTAATTTTTTTCACCTGTTAAACTTTTTGCAATTAAATAACGAAGTACCTGCCCCGAAAATTTTTAACTTCATCAATCAGTTGAGCGTGTAATTGTTTTTGCTGCTAGGATGTTGTCATTATTATTTCACAGACTCCGTATTATTTATTCAACACTGCTGATGACATTTGCTAAATTGCAAAAAAGAAAAAAAAAACAAATAAAATGCATTCACAAATGCAAGTTGCAACCTAACCAGGAAAAGGAAAGAAATTTATAAAAGTTATGTTTATGATAAATGAATGCAAACAAACATGCATACATAGCTATGTGCAAACAATATTTAAATACATATGTACATTCAGATACTATATGGAGCAAGTGCATGCGCTATACTATTTTTGTGTATTTGTACGCAAAACTTGATGAAACTAAAAATGTGATAGGTGCCTTAGCCATTGTTCCATTTGCATTTTGATTTTGACTTCAATGCAATATTAAAAAAAAAATCGAAAAACTTGAAAATTCGGCAAGTGTAAATAAAAATGCAAATGTAGATGTATAATTTCGTACAAAAGCAAAACTACTAAAAATGAAGTTATAGGTTAGAATTTAACCCAAAAAGCAGAATAAATTGAAATACTTAACAAATGCACTAAATAGTTGATTTGAAATATCGTAAATTTTTGATTCGATGTTGAAGCCAAAGGGATATCGCATCAAAACGTACAATTTTGTTTTTAAAATATTTGAAAAGACAACAATTTTACTTTCTCTGCGTTTTTCCACAAATTTTAAATTTTAAAATATACAGTGGGGAGTATTGATGGTAATTTTTGTTAAATGTTTGCAAAGTTTTTAAAGCTAAAATTTTTTTGTTATTTTTTCATAAAAATATAGTTTAATTCAAAAAAATTGCATAAAAATTTTTGAGCTTTTTAATTTGATTTTCTAGAATTTTTTTGAGTATGCAGTTTTGCACCCTTTAAATTTTAATATGATAAAATGCTAGTTTTAAGCGGCTGGAAAATCGGGATGATTTTTTTAAATTTTTTTCTGAAGCTTTTGCGTGTTTTTTTATTATAACAAATGCATTTTATATAAAATTACATTTATTTTTATTTTTTAATTTCTTTTCAAACAGCCTTGCGTATGATGCTTGTAAAAAAGTGCAAAAATAAAAATAATAATAATAGATTGGCGCTTACACATATGTTAGTGTTTGGCCGAGCTTCTCCTCCGATTTGTGCTGTGCGCCTTGATGTTGTCACACTAAGCGGAGGGACCTACAGTTTTACGCCGACTCCGAACGGCGATTGTATTTTTATGAGAAGCTGTTTTTCATGGCAGAAATACACTCGGAGGTTTGCCATTGCCTGCCGAGGGACGACCGCTGTTAAGAAAAAACCTTTTTTCTATATTTTTGCGATGTTGCTTTGACCAGGGTTTGAACCCAGGCATTGTGGAGCGGAAGCGCGGTTTTCTGCCGCTTAAAACTTGCACTTTATTATACTAAAATTTAATGGGGTACAAAACTGCATACTCAATAAAAATTCTAAAAAATCAGATCGAAAAGCTGAAAATTTTAATGAATAATTTGTATCAAGTTTGATTTGTATGGTTTTGGTTAAAGCATGAACCATATTCTTATGAGATAAATAACAAAAAATAAAAATAAATTTTAAATATCTTGCGCATATATTTAGCAAAAATCACAATGTACTCATCCTGCTTCCCACTGTAGCTTATATTTTTCACATCCATGAATTTTTGAAGGAAATAAGTATTATTTTTTATAATTTCACTAAATTCACGTTTGTGTCGTTTTCATAAAAAAAAAACAAACTTAAGAAAATCAAAGGAAGAATGATGGGAAACATAATCAAAGATCATAGAAAATAAGGATGTTTATGGATGGCTTTGTTTATGGCTCTCTTAATGAAGTTGCTGTCGCGTACGAAAAATGGTTTTTGGGCTAGAGTGCACGGACGGAGACTTCTATTAAATTAATAGAGAAAACATTTAAAATCGGCATTTAAGCGGTACAAATATGAATTTTTCACTGACACTTAAACGTCCCGACTTTTAAAAAATATTCAGCGGGACAACTTTCTCAAAATCTTTACTATCCCGCCAGAACCAGTACGAATGGTCACAGTATAAATAGCTTGACCTTGAGCAACTCAGTAAAGGTACATATATAATCCCATGAATATCACAACAATTCATTGCTATATTGTTACACTCCAATCGGGGAATCGAAAAACAAACCACGCAAATGCGAACGACTATACGAATTTGTTTACAGAAAACGGAAACGCTGCATTTAAAAGAGGAAGCTAAACAGCTGTCGATCGCTTGCACTTTTTATGCTTGCGTACTTCTGCTGTAAGAGTGGTTGTCTCGTTATTTGAGAGCTACCCTCGCATGCACCTAGTATAATGACCCCTCTAATTGTTTTGTAAACATTTGTATTTTTCTATCTCATCTTCATTGTATAAAGCGACTAGTTGGGATTTTAAAATTAATGATATTTGCTTAGGTTCCCAAATTTTTCATATGCCACCTGTCAACATACATTTTACCCCCGGGACCGGAGTTTCAATGGCCTGGATTTTTCTAAAAATTAAGTTTTCAAATATAGTTTTAAATATTTTTCAAACTTGATAGAATTTATTATTTAATACTAACATAAATAGTTACAATTTTAAATTTTATAACGTATTTTTTCTTAAAAAAGAAAAGCTAGTTTGTCTGCAATCCTTTTTAGACGAAAATTTTGAACGAAAAAAAAAATATTCAATACACATACTACCAAAAACTGTGCACAATTTGTAGTCCACCGGTTTTAAGTCCAGTATTCACTTCCCTACTGGAATGGTATTGGAGCCAGATTTTGGCAATTTTAGTTCTATCGACCGGCAGAATATTGCTGGAAAGTTTACGACTAGTTTTGGACAACAGCTTCCGAAACAGTATCTTGATAAACTTTGGGCGATGTTTTGACGTTTGCGTTTAAATTGAACAGCTGGCGGAGATTTGATTTGCTAACCTTAGTTTAAACCAGCCAGCCCATGGACCCTTTTTCATTAACCTTGCTCTGATATGCTTTTTAAACGTGTCGCTCCATTTTTCGCGAAATAAAGATTGAAATCGGTGGTAATTCCATTGATAAATGAAAATTTAATTTTTTTAAAATATTTTTAAATAAGATGCCTTTGAATAATAAATAAATATCTAAAAACTTCATATCTTTGAAAAAAAAAAAATTTATAAAATCTTTATTACCATAAAATTAAGGCAAGCAAACCACCCCCGTTTCAATTACTTTCAGTAGGGTTATCTTTCTAGGGTTGAAGAAAACTCCCACTGTGCCATGCAATTTAACAAAACAAATTTCTAACACACAAAATATAAATAAACTAAATTCCACGCTTCAAGGCCAGTGTAAAGTAAGCCAGACGCTTACAAAAAAACAAAAAAACCTAAGGTATAAGATTACAACCAGAAAATTTGAAGCAAGAAATTTAATTAAAATTCAAAATCAAAGCGCAGCTCTAATTTCCTCGCCAAAGTAAATGGTGAAATAAAATCGAATGTAAAACAATGAAATTAAACAACAACAAAAAAACATAAAACGGCTGTGCTGTCTGAGCTAAAGAAGCAATGAAAAATACCCATTTGTGAAAAAAACACCAGTTGCAAGCAAACACAGCCATAACAAAAAATAAAAAAAAAACAAACAAAAACACCGGCAAAGGTAACAACAAAATACCAACGGTAACAACAAATCACACTAGTTATTGCAATAACAGCACATGCGACAGCATTTGATGTTAGTGCGACACCCGAAATAACTAAAACTGGATTAAAAACCGAAAGGGCCAAAAAGGTAAATACCACACAGAAATGCAAATGCATAAATGTTTTTGAATGCATGTACATGTGTATGTACATATGTTTGTATGAAAAAACAAAAAAAAATTATATAAGTATATTCGTATCTGGTGTTGTAAACATGCATTGGGAAATGTACAAATATGTAAAGATATGTGTATTCCCACTCTAAAAATAGTAATATCCGGAACTAATAGGCATTGTAAAAAATTTGTAAAAAAAATTAGTGCAATAAAACTGAAACTTTAATAACTTTAAGCCATCTACGCATCTCCCAATTTTTCTTGAATTATTTATGTATTCATATCTCTAGCTTTTGACATTATGATTTATTATTATTCACCTTTTTTCAAATCAAACCTTAAATAAGAGCATTTTAATAAAAATCGTTTTAGTTTTCGTTTTCATGAGGATTTATTAAGGATTACAGTCGTATCTTACTGTTTATTCGTTATCGACTCCAGTTCAGTTGAAGAAATCATCCTCACTATATTTCATAAATGTGCTTCAATGAGTTAAAACATGAAATTTTTTTGTAAGTGTGGGTAAAAGGAATGTTAATCCCGGGATGACGGGATGCCGGCCTTTTTAATATCCTGGGATTCTTGGCGCATAATCCCGGGATTTTCGAGATTTGTAATTTGCACTGATGGCAATAATAGCTTCGCCGTTGGTTTTACAGGCCTCGTTGTAGTCGTCCTTCTTTGGTTGTCGTTATTAGAAGGCACGCGTTCTTGCATAATCGCTCGCTATTTGGGTCGAAATCTAGGAGCATCTCAAACATTTCTACTAGGTTCGGTTGTGTAGCTGATACCCAACCGCTCGCCTTGGAGTGTTATCGGATATGTCAGGCTTTAACTACTTTCTGGCGAGCTCATGGGTAAACTTGTCATATCTACTTTATCGATTACAACTTTGTTCAGTTTCATATTAGTATCTGCTGTCGTTAAAAGCAACTGGATTAATTTACCCTTGAAATCAACTAGCGCTACTTTACTTTTTCCAACGTGGCTTGGACACAATTTCACTGGCTCTTGGGGATCCTGCCCTCCTCCATGTTTTCGTGTAATTTCTTTTAATTCTCCGACCAACAAAGCATCGAGTCCAGGCGCATTATTCGGTGGCATTACTTTTTTAGTTGATCTACTGGCAAAACTCGTAATAAATTATCTCGCCTACTGCATGTCCTCTTTCTGCTTTATAAAGTCTTCCATCGAGATGTGATCCAACTTGAGCAGTGAGTTAGCTTGACAATGGAGAGTTCACAAGGGGGTACGGTAGTTGTGGTGGGTTTCGGCGTTCTCTGTTGAACTACTTATCCGTTCAACAAGCTGGCCTTATAATAATCGGCAAAAGGCTGTTCTCCGAGTACTGATCATACTACTAGAGAGTACGGAGTGTTTGATGTTTGCTATGAAGGTCTACCGACAGCTAGCCCCAGGATATGGTAGATATACACGTGGCCGCCGATTTGGCGCTCAGTCTTAAAAGCATGACGCTATAGAAGAATCAGCGGTTTTGGCTACGTTTCTTTACATTACACTCTAAATAGTTGTGATTAAGAAACCCTGCACTTCGCCCCTGAATTCATCTTCGACAGGCTCTTCGATCCGAAAGTCTTGTCAAGAATAGAGTGGCAAACAGCGGGACCATGGAGATGGAGGGAATTAAATTTTTACACGGTTGGATCTAAGCTAGGTAATAGTCTGATAGACCACTGCAGCGTTTATCAGGCAAAAGTTCTAGCCATCAAGGAGGTGGATCTGTACCTTGATAAAAACGCCATAATGAAGACAATGATAAATATGTTCTCAGATAGCCAGGCGGCCATCAAATCAATGAAGGCGGGAATGCGAAGATCAAATGTTACACAGGAATGCTTGGCAGCCCTAAATGAAGTTAGCACCACCTTCAAGGCCAGCTTCATATAGGTCCCGGGACATAAAAAATATAGTAGGAAATTGCAGGACCAATAAACAAGTCAGGAAAGGTACCAACTGTTTGATAACAGAGGCAGAAATTAATGATTAGAAATAGCCTAACCCAAGAGGCCAATCGGCCAAGGTTAGATTAGCGCATTTGCAGAACTGCTGGGCTATGGCCGCAATTCGAAAAAAAAAATAGAAGAATTGCTCAGCCTCCCAAAAAGGACATTTTGAAGGTCATGGGCCGTGTAAGTAATCGGCCATTGCCTACTTAGTAGGCACTCTTTGAGATTAGGAGTATTTTCCCATGAATTTAAAAAAAGTTGCAGAGATGAAAAAGAGGAAGAAACACTTCTTCTACAGTTGCCCAGCTTTAGCTAAGAGCAGAACAGACTTTTTAGGCAATCAATTCTTTAGCTCTCTAACCGAACTTGGAATAAAAGCAATGCCACGCGCCATAAGAGCTTCTGAATTATTTCATGAATTGTAGTCAATAAGGTTTCTGTGTTTCACAGTGGTATCAGGGTCTAAATAAGTTGTTCTTTTGGACTGACTGCCCCATTAACCTAACTTAAATAAGCCTCAGGATTTACCATACTAGACGTATCATGGTATTATTGGCGGGTACGGTTGCGCCTATTGTATACTCGTTTGGGAGTTAGATGGTTCAGCTATGGTTAGGGCGGTTAAGCTGCTTCGGGCGGTATTTCCAAGAGCACTGGACTTACGTTTTAAGTGCGCTGAGGTCTTGCTGTTTGGTCTACAAATTATACGACCGCTCCCTCTAATGAAATTAAATTATTATAAAAATCAAGTCTTACAACTAAGCAAACGATCCGAATGCCGCCAAGCTAATTTTTCAACCGTTTCTCATACTAAACCTTTACTAATAGTGGCTTGTTGAGCAGTTCAAAATTAATATATTATGCATGCGAATTCGTTTAGCTTTAAAAAAAAAATTTAAATTGTTTAGATTTCATAGAAGACGGACATTTTTGCCAATACTATTTGCGAGCTTGCGCAAAGAGAAATCTAAAACGCAAGTGATTTAGATACAAACACAATCGCTCACTAACTTCTAGTCATTTTACATGGATAAGCTTTCAAATGTCACTGTCACAGCAAGCGGAATGCTTCAAGTTCAGCGTCACAATTTACATGAAGCAATCACACAGCTATGCAAAGGAATTAGTACGCACAAATTGTTATGCAAGCTCACGCATATACCGCCAACCAACCAGCTTTTTTATTTTGCATCTCCTACCAGTCGCAGCGCTACATACATACTCTGTACATTAGGGCGGGTTGATTATATTTTTTTTAAATCGTATAGCAAAAACATAAACTACATAAAATTCTGAGAAAATTCTCCCAAGAAACCATGTATCTAAGATAAAATCCTAATCCGCGCCTCGCGACTTGAAAATTTATATTATATGGCCGCCTTTCCCAAAAAAATAAATGTTAGAACAAATAGGTTTTTCCAAGAAGAAATCGAATTTTCTGAATAAAATTGTTTAGTAAGGTAGTTCTTTTGCACTTTATATTTTTATATAAAAAAGATTGGAAATGCAAAATAAAAAAAATTGCACTCAAAAAATTGTTAATTTTCAAGTCGAGAGGCGCGGATATGCCCATGGTTTCTTCAGAGAATTTTCTTGAATTTAATGTAGATTACGTTTTTGCTATATGATTTTTTATTTTTTTTTCATCCATACAAATCAACCCGCCCTAATGTACATACATACATACCTACATAGCTGCTGCGCTTACTGTACAACTTAGTTAGTAAGCGCTTATCGCTCGCAAGTATCTGCATAATAATTTAGCTTTGATTGAAATCTGGCGCTTAGACGCACTTACTCGGCTCTTTTTGCTGTGACTTTGTGGAGCAATAATCTTTGCTGTTTGTTCGCTTATATTTATTTACTTATCTAGTTTTTAATTTTGTTTTGCATTTCGTTTTGATTTCCTTTTTAGTTAAATGCTTTGTTGTAAATTAGTTTTCTATTTTATATCTTTTATGCTTCAGTGCTTGGAGCTTAGGCAACGTTTTTTTGGGGGGGGCTTAGCGCGAGCTATTCATTTTTTCGTTATCAAATTAGCATATTTTATTTGCATTCTCAATTTGTTTGGCTTTTTATATGCATACTAAAATTGTGGCCTTTTTTCTTGCGGTGACAAAGCTAAATGCCGACGAGTTATGAGGAGAAATGAGCAGGCCTTTGTTTTGACCGTAAACTTGATTTTAAGTTAACTAATCT